GAGTGGGCAATTGGCAGACAGATTGGTGCAGCATCAACAATACTACACATTATACCAAACTGTTGTGGCGAACAGCGAGCTGAGCTGGAAGGCAAAGCTTTCACATTATTTAGGTTTTAATTAGGGCTGGATGAAAATATCAGTTTTGCCATGAATTGCTATTCTTGTTTGAACAGTTCAGTAACTGATTCTCGAAATACAATGATTGATTTTTGTATTTGCTCTTTTTCCTCAATAAACATGTACAATTGAGTTAAATGTTACATGCATACAGAGGTTATTTGTTATAAGTGGTGCATGGTGTGTAAAATGTGTTCTTTCTGGAAATGACGTTGGTGCAGAGAAGTGTTACGTGTACAAAAAAGTCATTTTAATTTTTAAAGTAATTCGCTGCGCAGTTGGCAGGATGTCTACGTCTGCTACAAGTTAGCCAGAGTCAGCTAGCCATCCAGACTCACGACATTCTGTAAAATGCTGGATAAATACGGCCTTTCCCAAAAGTTTGTGAATCACTTTATGGAACACTGTGTTTGAAGGCCCCACTACATGCTAACCCCTGGACATAGGAACACAGCTTAACCTCTCACACTAAGGTGGCATATTTGAAACATTAAAGCTTCAAACACTACTTAAGGGTTGAGATATTCACTCAATAGTTTGTCTGATGTAGGTTGATCATCTTGAATCAAATCGAAATTTATGAAATCAAAATCAAATTGAATTGAGATAACAGTAACAATATCCAGCATTAAATCCAGCAGAACCTGCTGCCACTGCACCCCAACTTCAGACAAAATGGCAGAGAATTGTTTTGTGTTGAATTTAATAAAAATATCAACAATGTCTGTAAAGAAATCCAAACAACTTAGTTTGGATTATTGCTAAGAGAAATTTACTATTTGCACAGTAGTGGTGGAAGGTGGTGAAAGGCTTTGTAATAATGTAACACAAGAAAAGAAGCTTTTCAATTAACTGGATTTTTAATTTTTTTTGTAATCCAATAAAGAACAAAGGTGAGTACAAAGAAAAACAACAATCTGACATTGGTTGTAGGCTGACCTCTGTCAGCAATAATATGTTATGTGAAAGCTTTAGTTTATAAGTATATATCCTGGCCAAACCCTTACATAAATAGTTAAAAGACAGTTTGGATGCTAATTAAAAGAATGTTTTAATCTGATTTTGGTGAAAAAGAGAAACATCCATGTTTTCTCTTTTATCGACTTTGTTTACACATACAAAATGTACCCCTGGATACACCTACATCATCACTTCTTCCATCATGTTCTGGGCTCCAAATACATATTGCCGAGGCACCCAGAGTTAACACAGCTGAATGTACCATTAGTGTCATGCAGAGTGGAACTCATGTCCATGTTTCTGCGTCTGGCTCCTCATTAGCTGCTGTAGGTGAGTTGACAGGACTCTGTGTGGCAGCCAAAATTTGCAGATGGGAGGATACAGAATAATTAAGACATGCTGAACATGCTACTACTGCTCTCCTTGTACTGTAGTAGTCCCTGGCAGAATATTGATACTCTTTATTGACTTTGGGAAGGTAAACTCAGACAGTTCGTTCTTTTCATTTCTCGGTTATATATCCCTCTGGCTCCTGCTTGAAAAACCGCTGTTATTCAATCACTAAACATGGTTAAGGATCAATACAAAATGCTGTCTTGTTGAATTCTTTTATGCTCGGCCAGCTGTGTGTTCGATTCAAATGCTTGATAAACTGCAGACTGAGGTCTTTACAAGTCTAGTACATTCCAGCCTTATATTGCGTCTTGTTCTGTCTTCCAGATGATATGAGCTAAATGTTCCCCAGAGCTGACAGTTCCGAAATCCCTCTGTCTGTTCTGTTCACTGCTAAAATAAAAAAGTAATGTTCCAGTGTTATCTGTGATAGAATGCATAGCAGCCTGAGTCAATGTGGTTGAATCACTCTCCTTTAAATTCCACATCCTGAGAAGTGGTTTTGTCAATTTTAAGTGAGCTCATGATTCATCTGAGCTACTCTAGTCACCCTGTTGTGATTCTTGCTTAGTGAAAATGGGAACCATTACTCTACAGAACTGCATGGTGCATTGACGCAAGTCAAGCCAGCACAAAACAGAACTTGTGGCATATTTACTTATTGATTTTGATCAGCTTTTAAAAAGATAGATATTTAGTGATAGGCCATTACCATGTGTAGCCTTGGGAAAATGATGGTACAAATTTGATGGGAATGTATTTAGGTTTCTGTGTTCACACCAAATGAACTATTGATACAACACTGACTATCTTCTATGGTGGCCCTAAAGGGACAGAAAAATAAATAAATAAATTAAATGATCAAGTGCTGCATTTATTCATTTAGTTATTTTCTGTGTCCCTTTAGGGCCCCCATAGCTGTTTATGTCAAAACAGGTGTTTGGCAACCGACTGACTAGTCACAGCACATCACAATCTCTTCCTTTACAAACAGCAAACTGCAGACATCCAAAACAGTGATGGCATGTTATAAAGGAGTGACTGTCACTCCTAGTTCCTAACAGATATAACTTTGAACGTAAAGAGAAACAGTCTTACACTAAGGCTAAACAATTTGGTAAAATACATCTAATTGCAGTCTTTTTGAGTAATGTTGTGATTGTATTTCAATGTTTTTTCCAAATTTCCACTTCTTCTTAAGTATTTACTACAAGAAGACCAACCCAATATCCTCATACAAGGCCAGTGGTGCTTAGAGTTGCTCCCTTCAATGTGAAACTATAAGTGACAACCCCACTAACAAACAAACGTGTCAAAAGCATTACTTCTTGCAGAATTGGTTTGTTTTTTGGCTGGTTGATCTGTTCACAGCATAACTCAAAAAGGAGTCCATGGATTTTGAAGAGGTTCTTTGGAAAGGTGGGGTATGGCCCATGGAACAGTCCAATAGATCTTGGTGCTGATCCAAATCAGGATTCTTCACCATTGTGAGATAGGGCCAATTTCAATATTTTTGTTCCTAATTCCATGTATAATGTCTAGAGTGCTTTAAGAAATATTGCAAGATGACATCCACATAAGATTTGCCACACACCAGAGTATGATCTAGATCCAAGTATTTTTTTCCGATCTGCTGATCCAGGATGTTCACATTTATAGGGCTCATGGGAAACTCTCTACTGTGAGACAACAAATAAAATAATGCTACAGACTAAGATCAAATTCTAGCTGAAATTTTGCTGAGTCACTAGGGAGTCAACAGATTTGACCTATCTTCAAAAGTTACATAGATAGATCCTGAAGAAAACTGAAATATAGTTTTTTCTTGAATAACTTTGAAACTAACAATGATATCTATGTGCTACAGTCAAGGAATCATATTATGAGGGTCAAACAATCATGGGAATATTGTTTATAGGTGTAATGGCATTATGGGGCAGTGAGCTTACTTGGCAGAGGTTTGCACTCTCTGACTGCTGTCTAGTTGTCTGCTTTTCATATGACAAAAAAGCAATAAATGCTTAGTACACGTTGGGAATATTTATTGACCTAAAAAAAGCATTTGACACAATCAATCATGCATTATTAATGGATAAGTTAGAAAACTATGGGATCAGGGGATTGGGTTTGAATTGGATTAGAAGTTACTTGACCCAGAGGCATCAATTTGTGAAGTTGGGTGAATACCAATCGAGTGAGCTGGACATTGTATGTGGAGTGCCTCAGGGTTCTGTTTTGGGACCTAAATTATTTATACTATATATTAATGATATATGCAAGGTTTCTGATTTAGTGAAAGTGGTTTTGTTTGCTGATGACACTACCATATGGGCATCGGGTGAAAACCTACAGCAACTCTCTGGACGGGTTTCACAGGAACTTGAGAAGATAAAGAAATGGTGTGACAGTAATATGGTATCTCTGAATTTGGATAAGACTAAATTTATGGTATTTGGGAATCGCAGATTAGACAATGAATTTCAATTGAATATTGGGGGAGCTAAAATAGAACGAGTACATGAAATTAAATTTCTAGGTGTCATAGTTGATGACAAATTCTCCTGGAAATCCATTGTATATATTACAAAAAAGAGCGATAAGAATTGTGCATAAGATGGGGTACAGGGATCACACCAATGTAGCTTTCATACAGTCTAAATTGTTAAAATTTTTTGATTTAGTGGGATATAAGACTGCTGTGTTTTTGTATAAAGCCAGGAACAATTTATTACCTGGTGGAATTCAAAAACTATTTAATGAAAGGGAAGGGGGATACAATTTAAGGGGTCAGTTAAATTTAAAAATTCATGCTATACGTACAACCAAAAAAAGATTGTGTTTCCATAAGTGGGGTAAAACTATGGAATAATTTAAATGTGGACATAAAAAATTGTAATAGAATTGACGAGTTTAATCATAAATATAAAGGTATGTGTCAATCAAGATATATGCAAGAACAGGCTTAATGATTAATTAGATGGAACATTGTGGGTGTGGTGTATATTTTGTAACTATTCTTTAGTATATCACTTGTATGATGTAAGAAAGTTAACACAGTTATAATCTTTTTTTAGTATAATATGTGTGTGTGTAGAAGTGAATCATTTATTGCTTGCAAACCAATGATGGTAAGATGATGTCATGGGGTAGGACTGGATAAGTCTGACTTCTTCCTACTCCATTGAAGCATGTACTAGGTATAAGAAAATTGATATTGGATTGTGTGTAAAATTATGTGTGTTGTTATATCAACTGTTTTATATGCTTGAAAGAATAAATCAAATCAAATCAAATGTTTGGCATTTTTGCTTGAAAAAGTAAAACAGATTAAAGTTTAAAATGAAATTAAGGTTAAATGATGTTTAATTATTATTTAAACAGTGAGTCAATTATGAAAGTAGTTATTGATTAATTACATAACCACATGTTTCAGCTCTGAACAGGTCAAAAGATTTTTTGGGGCAAAGTGTATTGATTTTGCAAAGAGATGATCGTTTTTGATCTGACTCATGTTTTGTGTCTTCTAGGGTTGAGAAGGGGGAGGACAGTGACGGCGCAGTGGCTTTCTCAAGGCCGAACCAAGAGGGAGCCTGGTACACAGGTCAGACATCTCATCAACCTTTTTTTAAATCTTTGTTTTTCTGACTGTCTCATCATTGCCGACTGGCTTAACTGCTCGTGATTAGATGGGTATATCTACCTGGTAACCACAGTAACAGTCTTAATATCTGCAGCACTTACTACATCAGACGGGATTAAAGTGTTAAACTCAACAACACACGGTTCTATTTTCCTGCAGGCGCAATGCCAATGTAAAATGGCAAACTGATGTTTTGTACAATTTCCTTGGGGTACAAGTCTATAATTTGGTGTCTCCGCCTGTTGGGCAATTTTCCTAGCACCATGTGTAGTAGTAGAGGTACAGCTCAGCCTGTGTTTATGCTAATTTGGTGGTGCAATGCAATTTCAGTGTTCATTTCTATCAAAAGTGTGTTTGCGTCAAAAACCTGAGATCGCCACTTACCACAGATGCAAGGCAGTTTTCATGGGTTCACTTGACAGAGACACACATGGAAAACACCTCTGAGTTGTGCCCTCTTTCTGTGTGTTGTACTTTGTTCATCAACTGCAGATTGGGCTTCAATATCCCTTTATATTAAAGTACTTTTGGGTCTTTTTAATGCAATCAAAAATTAAGTTTTGAATTCAAAGCAACCATGTCATAAAAAGGTTTAGTTAACAAAACAGATTTGCTTGCAAGTGATACATTTTTGTAAGTTAACAAGTTTTGCAAGTCAAAAACATTTGCACTTTATAATTTGTGTCATAGTGCAACTCTCTATTGGCTAGTCGACACCGAGTGACAGCTGTGACGAGCTATTGACTTGGGCCGAGGTCTCAGACCTTTACCGTCATTAATTCATTCCTGTTCCAGGTACTGACTTGTATTGGCCTTAGTATGGAACTGTTTGCATTCTGATCTTATATTTTCTGTAAGACTATTGACTAAAGCTATTAACTATTTTGTTATCACATTGAAAGTGTTTGTATTTGAATTGCTGGATAAGATATTTTTCTTTCTAATTGGGTTTTAAGATGGCTCAGTTCATTTTGTTTGTTTACTGTGGTTGTTGGAATATGAGTCTGATAGTTTGATCTTTTGATCCAAGGTATTTCCCAGTGCTTGCTTGTTGCTGTGTTTCCTATATGAATATGATATTATATTTCCTTTAATTACTGCTTTGCCTGTTTCTCATAATGGTATTGTGATTTCAGAGGAGTTGTTCATCTGCAGAAAGAATGTCCAATCCTTTTTAATAAAACTATCAAAAACTGAGTCTTGAAATAGTGATGTATTGAAACACATACTATTTAGAGGGTTTAATTTGGGCTTGAATGTTTAATGTAAGAGAAATGGGAGTGGCAAAAGGACTGATGGAGGGAGTAAATGTACGTAAGTACAGTATATTCTCTGGATGAAGGGTTATTCACTCTCCAACTGTTGCCAAGTACATTGCCAAGTTTCTTAAGCTACTAGAAGAGCTTGAGTTGTCAATTTTAAGTTAATAACAGTATTGAAGCACATTTGAAACACATCTCTAATTATACCTTCTCTTACAATGTCTATTGCTTAGGCAGCTTAAATATTTAATCATTGCAAATTACTTGCACTTCAAGATGTTTTTTTCAACACACCTCAGCAGTCTGGTTTTATGGCTGAATTAAGGACATTGGTTCTTGTGGTTCTGTACTTGTATTTTAAGGGCACACTTGACTCTGTGCTCTTGCCCTTATTGTTAGCACCCAGAATACCTCATCCTCTGCCACCTCCTCACTGGTCTACACATATTTGTGGGTGCACACATGCACACACACAGGTGGGAGGACAAGCATATTATAGCTTGTGTGCCCTTTACAAAATGATGACAGGGGAGGGAGTTCTTTTTTGGTGTTGCTAACTCACTAGGAGTTTTAACTTTGCACAGCAAAATGTTGAACAACAGGACATTTACAATTAGCTTAGTTTGTAAAACTGTCCTCAAGAAGTTCCCTGTCAGGGGGAGTGCAGCTGCACTGTGGAAATGGAAGTGTAGCAAGGTGGAGCTGCTTCAGCATCGAACTGTTGTACAACCATGAGAGTGATGTCATGTCATAGGGATGCTGATAACAAAAACACAACAACTCAGACATGTCTGAGCAAGCAGTTGTGATGAATACTGGGCTCAAGGAAACACAACAGCAGCATTCAGCAGAACCACAACAGAAACAGACCTGATGTCGCATGGTAGAAACAAAAACATGTTTGTTCAATACACTCAACATTTTTGTTTCTGAGGGTCAAATCTGGTCTATCTAACCCATAATTTGGAAGTGCAGTACATTTCTCGTGACCTTGCTTGACCAAGAGAGCGTCAGGCATCAAGTATACATTTCATGGTAGTTGGTTATGCATGGCGTAGGAATTTATTTTGGTCTTTCTGGGCCTTCATTCAATTGGCAGTCCAGAATCCAACAAGGTTCACTTTATAATGATTCAAATGCAGGAACCAACTAATGTTTGACATTTTTGCTTGAACAATGACTGAACTGATTGTCTGTAGAGTGGATCATATATACCAGGAGTGCCCAATACGTCGATCACGATCAACCGGTAGATTGCAAAGGTAGTGTTGGTAGATCGCGTGCCATTCAAAAATAAATTAGATGTATCCGGCGTAAAACACGTGCCAAATAGCGAATCGTCACACTGACCATTCGCTATGACGACCCCTAACAGAAAAAGCAGAAAGTGACAGTCATTTATATATAGCCTATTATCCATCCTCCTTATGGCATTTGCTACTTGATTGACATGCAGGACAGCCAGTCTGAGATCTCGTCTTTTCTGAGACACGAGTCACCAAGCATGCACAGTCAACCGCATGAGTGAGCGAACTAACTTGTCAACCTTCGAATTAATTTCTACTAAAGGGTATAAAATGAGTGGGGGAGCCGAATCAAGTAAGAAACCGAAAACGTACCGAAAACATTCCATGTGGAATGGGAGGAGCAACGTTATATTCGAAATGCATAATTGCTTGATCTACCAATCTACCATCACTATTCTGAAGAAGGGAAATGTGGAGCGGCACGTTCAGACTGTTCATAAAACTACAACACTCATTCATACATATATTTTGTGTGTGTGTGTGTGTGCGCGCGCATGTAGGTCGATCATTTTGACTTGGTCATTTGAAAAGTAGCTCGCAAGGCGAAAAAGTGTGGGCACCCCTGATATATACAGTAGGGTTGAAGCACACATTTAAAAGTGTCTCGCTATCGAGCATTTTATCTTCATCTTCCTGTTGCTGATTCACTGACAGGCTCAACCCAGTTCCTGACTGGCACTATGTAATTGATGGTAATCACTGGAGGCATTTGACTGCCTGTTGTGCATGTTAATGCTTATGACAATGGGAAAATGGAACCCTGCTGAGAACCATAACTATACAAAATAATTTAGACCCATGCAGTCAGATAAACACTGAAAGAAATTCAGGATCATCATCTGCATTTCTTGTGCTAACTGGCATCCTAACGAGTGGATATTGATGCTTGGCTGGCCAGTGCCAGCATTAGTGCTGGTTGGTGTCAGTACAGGAGAGATCGGTGGGATTAGAAAACACTGAGAAAGCAAGGTAAAGGTAGTTGATGACACATTGCTAACACACATTCTCCTTCACCTGATGACGTTTTTGAAAATTACACAACAGCATAATGTAGTTCCCTCTCTTCTCTGAAATGTATCATCACTTGACTTGAGGAGTGTCTGAATGTGAGTCTTTATGCTTTTTGGAGACGTGATTCAGTTCATACACCAGGGATGTAAAGCAAAGGCAGCAGTTCTTTATTCTCAGAAGTTAAATGACGGTCACACAGATTGCACTTTTCCTAAAGGGTTCACCGTGCTTGAAACAAATTAGTTTGTGTAAAATGTCATTGGACGAAGTCTAAAGGCAGAAGTGTTCATAGTCAGTCAAAGTGAAAAGTGAAGAGCCACCATGGTGGTTCCTTATGTGCCCTTGTTGTCCTGATGCAAAGTAATGTACATTTTTAGATGTTCTGTCCTCAAAGGCATTCTTGTTGCCCTTACTATAGACCCACTTGTGCCATGCCTCTACCCTGATTGCAGTATGTCATAGTTGGAGGAAAAATTGGAGGCAAACATGAATCACCTCAAGCGACTGTACAGCACCTACTAAAAATGTCATTGCGCTGTGTTGCTTTGTGCCAGAATCAAAGGAGTAATGGCTCTAACTTGTTTTATAGCATTCTGGCTGCCACTGCCAGTCAAAAAAATAGAAGACAACTGTGGTTATGCAATAAGATTAAAGGACTGGACTGGTGATTTCATGAAAAATGTTCATGTTTATAGCAGATGCTTGATACCAGGTTAAAGTATAGTATGTTGTAGGTATGGATATGTTTTTATCCACTTGAGCTTGTCAGTGATCACCCACCTAAAATTAGTCAGAAATTGGGAACTAGGAGGAATAACATTTGGTGATTTCTCTTGTAAATCGCTAAGCGCTTTAGCTAATTTGTTAGCTAGTTGTACATTTCAGTTGTGTGTTCAAAGAGTTGCATTAGCCACCATTAGCAGCTATCAGTAACCAACCAGCCAACCTGGATATTGTGTATATTTTGTACAGTGTATTTAATAATAAACTTGGTTGACACTTCGGTAACCATCTCCAATTACATGTTGTTTTTTAGGAGAGCATGTTATGAATGAAGAAAGCCCACCTGTCAGATCGTCCTTCTGTTGAATTTGAGTGCGGGGGTTGGCAAATGCGGCCCTGTTCCATGAAATTTTTGGTGGCTTTATCTGTACTGATACTGATGCCACACTGAGTGCAACAGAGTCAAACAGAGATGTCTCAGCTGTGGCATTGTGCAAACTGGTGTAACAGAGTCACAGTGGAAAGACAACAAGGACGCAAATATCTCTAAAGTGATCCTGTAAGTGTGGATCATTATCCCACGGTTCATGGCCCTCTGGACCCAACTGGACTGACACTCAGTGCTGCCTCAGAAACCGAAATTAGTCCCTTTTAAGCT